TCAACAGATTCTGACATTACATAGAAGATCCCATCACTGCTGTCACACTCGTAGGACCACTTGTGCCACGGATACTAGGGGACTGGTATTGGCATGGTTTTGATGTTGATTTGATCTTGCGCTACACAGACATTGCTCCTGCCAGTTCTTTTTTTTTCCAATTTTTTTAATTGATTTTTAAAAAACAAACATAAACAAACAAAACACAAAACATGAAAACATAAAACATCTTTTTTGAAAGCAGCTTGATCCCGGGTTACATCTCTTTGTACAGACACAAATTCAAATCCATGTTCATTTTATATACGATTCCATATCTTACTATTCCATATCTTCCATACCATTCTACATTTTCTATATAGCTTCTCCCCTCTTTTAACTCTCTTAATTCTATTTTATTTATTTCATCTCAATTTAAATAATTATCCTTTGTTTGTCCTGTTTCAGCTGTCTATTATCTTTTCTCATTAAGACAAAATTTCTCCTGTAATCACTGGTTGGAGTATGATGCCTTTATATCTTTCCCCTAAATTTATAACAGTATAATACATAACTTTCATTCAGATTCTGCTTAGTACATGCTAAAGCTACACACTATATTTTAAAAAAAGAAGAAATTATAAATATATAATATAATTAAAACAACAATCCATACCAGTTCAACTTTATCGTTAAAATTAATATTCATTTAAATCTTAAACATTTTACACATTACTTTTCAAATAAGTATCATGCTTCTATGGGAACACTTATAAATTTTGCGTAGTTTCTCCCCCCCCCCCATTTCACTTATATTTTGAAACATTGTGTAATTAAAATATTCCCATTCCTTCCTAATTCAATTCTCTCATTTATTTCATTTCATTTATTTTGTTCAAAAAAGTTTAACTGAATTACACTGAGTATTTTATCCCATTTTATAATCATATGTTGTTCCACTTTTCTAACATTATTTCTAATACAAGTATAATAGAATCTTATGTACCTTTGCAGAATCTCTTTTTCAGTTATATTTTTACCCATTATCTCTGAATAAGTCCTGTTTCTTTAGATCTTGTTCCAAACCTTTGTAGCTTCTCTTTCCTTCCTTTCTCCTTTGCTTCTTCACTCTGCCCTTTTTACCCCCTTGTCTCTCCACTTCCATTTCCCTCTTCTGTGTTCCCCTTTTCTGTTGCTTTCTAACATTATATCCACTTTTCACCTTATTTTTCCCTTTTTTGGTTGTTTTTTTAGGTCTTAAATTCTCCATTCTCTTTCCCCCCCTTTCCCCTTTCTTCCCCAGATAAAGTTACTTGTTCATTAAAGATGGCTTCTTCTTTGTCCCAATCTTCTTGTTGCGCAGTCTTTTCTTGTATTTTCTCATAGGTACAGATCGCCATTTCTAAGAAATGAAAAACAGAGCCAAAAGAGCCCTTCCCTTCTTGTTCCTCTTCTTTATATTTTTTAAATTCCATTTTCAGTTCATCCACAAGTGATGCCATTGTAAAAAAAAATTTAAACAACCACCCAAGTGTTTTTAATCATTCGAATATAATTTCCAAAAGTCCCAAAGTCACCAAACAATCCAAGTACACACAAGCTGTTTCATTTAACACTTTCTTCTTTTTTCACTTTCTCTTCCTGGGGTTACAATTTAGTTACAAAGTTCCAGTTAAAATGTATCTTTTAGAAGTCTTATTATGGTTTAACTTTAGATTCTTTTAAATACCAAGCAGCCTCCTCCAGCCAAATCTTGCTCTCCCTTCCCACTTACAGCAAAAAAAAAAGTTTTTCAAATGTTCAGAAATCTTTATTGCCCCCTTGGCATTTAATTTTCCAGTTTAATTACCTGCTGGTGCCAAAGCAGGTTTTTCCGATTTCTCATTCATCTGCTGTCAACATAAGGAGAGTGGGGAAAAAAACTTTCTCTTTTCACTTTCATTCACTGCTTCTGAATCTTCTTTGGGAGCGATGTATCTTTTTTTGAAATTTAAATTCCAGGATACCTTAGTTGTTGCTTCTTATCCTGGTCAGCCAAAACTTTCACTTCTTAACTTTCTCCTGCACTTTCTTTTCTGGCTGAGTGCTTGTTTGAGGCGGCCATTTCTGACCGCCGCTCTTACCGCCTTCAGAAAAGAGAGTTTAGCCAGCTGAGGAGGAGAGGTGTGGCTCCACTCAAACCCTGCTGGGTCTCCCCTGTCTTCACCACCTCTATGGGGTGGCTTAGCCCCGAAGCCAGCTGGCTCGGGGCACTCCAGCGGCAAGCCCACGCAGAAACCGCGCACGATCGCAGATTCCTGCCTGCCGCCGAAGCCCTGCAAACGGAATTCCTCGCTCCTGCCAATTCTTACAGTGCCACAATCACTGCCCTATTTCTGTTACTTCCCTTAATCTCTCTACAAGCAAGGCTTGGGGGTGCAAATCCAGAATCCATGTTCTTGAAAGACAAAAGGTAGTATAGCTATCATCGGTGAGCCACTGAGGAGCACAAGTAAGAGAATTGGCTTCCTATTTAAATATTATTAATAACTGGAGCATCATAAGTTTGAACTTCTTGGATGGTTACAAGATAAATAGAATGACAAGCGAATCTTGTAAACTACTACTATTTATTAAAATTTATTGGCAGCCCTACTCCAGTGGATTCAATATATAAAACTAAAAAAACCCTGTGATTTGCCCAACATTTTAAAAAGTTACATTTTTATCCCGACAGGTTTGTGTGTGCACGTGCGTGTGCATGCATGCATGTGTGAACTCAGCAAACATATCCATTACTCCTGTCTATTTTTCCCACAACACCCCTGTGAGAGGGGCTGGTCTAAGAGTGAAAGGTTGGCCATTGGCCCAAAGTTACACAGCTGGCTTTCACACCCAAGGGAAGCCTAGAATTCAGTCTCTTGGTTTCTAGGTCAGAATTAAGGAGGAACTTCCTAACATTGAGGACAATTAAGCAGGTTTTTAAGAAGAAACTAGGCAGCCATTTATTTGAAACACTATAGGTTCTCCTGCTTGAGCAGCGGGCTGGACTAGAAGACCTCCAAGGTCCCTTCCAGCTCTATTCTATTCTATCCTATCCTATCTCCACCACTACACCAAATTGACTCTTTTGTTTACCTGAATGATAGCCCCAAAGGTTGTAGGTCTGATCTGAAAGGCTTCACCTGGAATAATTATGGCGCCACATGTTGAAAAAGATCAGATAGATACAGCTGGATCCCACCATCCTGGACAATTTTCATCTGATGGCTCATCTTTTTCCTCTCTAGAGAAGGTGGTATAGAAGATAGTGGCACCTTCCTCCAAGTCACACATGCCCTGGTCACCTCCAGCAGGGACTTCTACAGGGTCCACCTGGGGCTACTTCAGGAAAGGACCTGGAATGCAGCAGCCCAGCCAGACAGGGGCACCTCTAGGGCTGTCCGTGTCAACCCCTCCAATGCCTGAGCTGTATCAGGTGGCTGGCTTCCTTCTAGGTCCAATTCAAGATCACTTAAAGCCCTTTGAGCAATTACATTGGCCCTTCCCACCTGGTCCAGCAGGAGAGCATGTGGCAGGTCCCACTGGTTGAAGAATTCTGGTCTAGGAGACCCTTTTTGGCTGTTGCCCCCACCCCACCCCAACATCTTGTCCTGGAGCTGTGGGTGCCTTCTATTCTTCTGGAAGAGCATCAAGATCTGGCTCTGCCAACTATAATGGGGGTCTACTAGTGGTGCAGAGACCTGGGGATGGTTGGTGGTTTGAGGACACTGTGTCCATTAGTTGCTTGCAAACTGCTCAGGGTCACCTATACAGTGAGATGGGCAGGGTATAAATAGGATCCCTATGATCAATCAGTCAATAAATCAAAACAATCCACTCCACTACTGGCTAGAATTCATTTCAGCATCTTCCTTTATGTAGCTATTGAGATATCTCCTTTTGAAAAATGTGGAGAAACTGCTCCATATTGTAACAGTTTTAACACTTGATGCACGTTTTGGGATGTATACACTAATTGATGTTCTGCCACACATATGGTACATATGGTACTGGTGATCAAATCACCATACTACATGAACTAACAAAAGCAAAAGGGACAGGAATTGCACTGTAAATTAAGTTTCTATATATTTGAAATAATACCCATAATTTGATGCAAATCATTGGAGTCAACATGGCTTTGCTGCCTACATACCAATTTCAGGCCACTAATTCCATAAGCATTCCTTCTACATCTTTCTGCAAAGGTGATTTACATGTTTACTCTCTGCAGTGTTTATACCAGCAGGTTCAAAATAAGAAAAAATATAACAGGTGCAAAAATATGCACATAATAAAAGTGTCCCAAGAGAAACTCTCAGTACTGTTTGGCAAAAATAGCTGGTTAGTTATGCTTAGAAGTTGAAAGAAAACATGGTAAAGCAGAAGACATAATTTCTGTAAGGTATTAATTAGAATATGCAACTGCAACCACTAATTTATTCCACCATAATATATGTGAGTTTACAATTTCTCATTGGACACTAAAGCCTATTTCCTTGTATTTAATTCAGAGGAGAAACACTTGTCGAGATAAAAGGTATTTTAATAAAATCTTATCCCTCCAGCCAGGACCTTCTGGCAGAATACAATCACCTGTGAAGAGCGTGAAAGCATCTGTTAAACCTTCAACAAACTCACACTGACATTTTGAGTAAAGAACAGAGTCTGAGGCTCTGGAAGTGCTGTCATCATTAAGAGAATGGCATTTGCCTGCCAAAACACAGATGATCTACAGGAAGATTCAGAGAAAACATTTCATCAGATGGAAAGTATTCCTACTGAAGGAAAGTTCACATGTTGTTAAAACTGAGCAAAATTGTTTGCAAATTCTAGCAACCAAAACCTATAATTGCTCCGTTCTTGTCAAAGCTGTATACTGAATGACACTGAATGCATTCTAGCTATGTTGGCCACGGCAGCATGAAGTGGACTTATTGGTGAAGAGCGTGACGGTGTCTCCTGATCAGTCGTGTCCCACTCTAGGGGATGGCGCTCATCTCCGTTTCCTAGCTGAGGGAGCCAGCGCCACCCAAACCCGCTTCAGGGGGAAAAATAGCATAGAAGAATCAGAGTAAAAAAACCAGGGCACGAATGATTGCAGGCACTGATACCGAGTGGCCAAAAGCTTGGCAACGCAAGACGTGACTTTTCAAACAGTTCTGAGGACACTTAGAGCTAGAAAAGCAGACGAGCGTTTTCATTCCATGGGTTTGCAAAGGAGAGGTCACAGGATAGGTGGCTTCTTTCAGGCATGACCACAAAACAATGCGATATCTCAGGTGGAATGTGTGGAGCGTATACTCAAGTAACTTAAGAACTACTACGCTTGAGTTTCTGAGCGCCTGGAGCACATCGCCTGCTGCTGAATCCGGAAACAAAGAAGAAAAGTTCCCCCGTGGAGGAGAGGCTGCCTGCCCAATGGCCACGAAAGGCACCCCTCAGCCTCTTGGCTTCCCCTCAGTCACTCCTGGGGAGGGCCACCAGCCCCCAAGGCAGACTCCGCTTGCTTCAAACAAAACGGAGGACGTTGTGCCGCCCATCCTCCGTGCTGCTGCTCCTGCACTGACCCAGGCCCAGGGTAGGCAAGCCAGCCCCAGGCCGTCCCGACTCAGTCCTCCTTCGGGGTGCCGTTATGAGTCACTGCTTTCAAATTGGGAATGTTGGCTTGATGGCCGCAGGAGCGGTGAGAGGAAAGGCCCACCTCAAAGACCTCGTGGATGGCCTTGCGGAAGCAGTGGAAATTGTAGTCTATGAGGCCTGCGGAGAAAAAGGGACGGGGACCAAAGGGAAGAGCGGCATCAGTTGGGAAGAGCTCAGGAAACGAGAGGTGGAAGCTTTGGAGACAGATTCAGATTGTATCAATCCAAGCAGGAAGTCAGGGGCTACCTATGCTGCCTGGCATTTATTGTAATTTTTGGATAATGCTCTTTTTCTGTGATTGTCATTTGTACAACGGTTCGAATACTGATTTTAGAAAATTTACATGGCCAACAGTTGCAGTTTTGTTGAACTAAAAGATGAAAAAAAGGACATTCCAAGCAGCCACCACTTCCAATGAACTGAAACATTTCTAACGCTGCTCCCTGTATGATACTTGGAACCCTTGAAATATACCCCAACTTTCACCTCACTAAGATACGGTCGGCTCAGACTAAATATTTCAGAGGAGACTGCTTTACCCTGAGTTTGAAACAGAGCGTATTTTCTATTTTGGAAAAAAGTAACAAAATTATGATAGTTTTTAATGCTTCTGTTTGGGCTGCTGGTCCCAAATTACGAGGCCATTTGCTCACCTTTGCGCTCAAAGCTTTCTTCTCTGAGGATACACACCAAGGCTAGAAATTTTGTCACTTCTTTTAAATATAAAACAGTTGTGTTATTGAGTTTAATAATTGCCATAGATTCCTCGTCATATGCACTACCGCTGCCATCTTCTTTTAATCTAAAGTAGGTTGAAGGAGAAAGACTGTTCAGCACACCCGAGATTTAGACTGAGCATTTAAACTTGATACAACTCAGATGCCTCAGATATTTAGGCACTTCAGTTGAAAATGTCTTTGTAGGTCAATCAAGTTAAGAAGCAATTGCACATTTTGGAGTTTGTCATAAATTGTAAAGAATATTAATCTGTTGTAAATTTACAATCGTCACAATTTATAACCACTTCAAAATTCTACATTTGTTTTTTTAGTTTGATTGGCATCCAAAGATATTCTATCCAGAAAATATCACAATACTGATGACCTTTGCTATTTAATTTAATTTATATCAATTAGGTAACTCTGGGTAGCAGTTAGATTTTGATAGAAATACCTGTAGCGTGATCATGACACGAGAGACATATGATGTTTGCTCAGGATCCTGGACAAAAATCAGTTTTGTTGACAAAATCATGCCAACGATAAGCAAAGAGGCATAGCACCCCCCACCTTGTAAACTAAATCCTTCACAATTTTAAGGTTATCTTGCATTTCTCAAAAACCCCTGAACAGTAAAGGATCTTCTGAAGTACTTCTTTCACGGTTGTTGTTCCATACTTTCAGAGCATTTACTTACCCATATATGCAAGAAACATCAATCACAACGTCAATCATGTCGCAACATAGCTCATAGGACTGCATGTCAACAGGGGAACTGTCTGTTGCAATATAGATCTTGCTGACAACATCAAAAAGAAAAGCTTTCTCAATCCCAGAGTTCTTCAGAAAATGAAAAGACAGGTTTAAATTAAGATTACATCTCACAAATACCCACATTTGTCCCAAGAGCCATTTGCGTTTATTTGTTTTGCAATACTTTATTGTATATACTTAGGAGATAAAATATCTGATGTGGTAGGAAATCGGGAGGGGGGAGTGACAGGTGATAGGGAGCAGAGCAGGGATTTGTACCACCATCCCACAGCCAGGCACCCTGAGAAATATGCTGATTACCCCCAAACATCTCAGCATTCTCAAAACATCTTGGCCAGCTCCAGGTGGCTGGGAACGGTTTGGTCGCGGGGGGGGGGGTTGGGCTGGGGGCGAGCCTACCCCTTATTTTTGTATCCGGCAAGTGTGGCGATTTCAGAGCTGACTTGACTTTACTGCAACCAACCCCCTTCTTGAAAGGACCCTTTGGTTTAACCAAACGGAGTCGGAGGCCTTTCTCCTCTAAGGGATCGGATTGGGGCAGGTCTGACATTAAGCCAGGTCTGTAGTTGTGGTCCATCCGGAGAGGAAACCTTTGAAGAAACGCCTCAAAGGGCAAGCATACAAAAGCGAGGCCTCTCCAGAATAATCTACTTAAAAGCTTTTTTTTAAAAAAAAACAACAACCTAAGAATGCACAGAATTGCACCTATAGGAAAAAAGTGAATGGAGGAAAAGAGTGGACTTGCAGAGAAGAGAATACTTGCAATTAAAGTGTTTACTTGGATGCAAAGTTTATTTGGCTTTTTGTTTTCCTCTATCAAATGTTATGGATATGTCATTTCTTAATACATCTGTGGATTACAAACTATATTGAGAGGGCAACATCAACATTACCCACAGAGGAGTCCAAAAGGAGAACTCAGAACTCCTGACGGTGTAAACCAACTAACCAGTGAAACGGCTCGACTTCAGAGAAGGGGGTGTCCTATCAGAGATTGGACAGCCATTGGTCCAAAATAGTAGGCGTCTCTTCAACACTGTTACTCTGTTATTCTAGATAGAAGACTAACATCAAAGAATATACATTTCTGTTTAAATTTTCTTTTTTAAAAATCTTCTAAATTTGGGGAATTATGAGCATAAAAATAGAATTTTTAGATGTTGGAAAAAGAATCCTTTAACGAGGTGTCCCAGCTGAGACGGAGAGGAGGCACAGCCACCTAGCCAGGCAGCCGAGCAGACGCTGTGAGCTGCAAATGATGGCCTCTGAGCAGCAGGGAAACACGGCAAGGTGCCAGCAGACCAGCAGCTGAGAGAACAGGGCAGACCCTGAGCAGCAGCCATGTGGAGCTAAGGAGCAGAGGAGCGGAGAGCTCAGAGCAGCAGCTGAGAGCAGTATGGCAGACCAACTGGGTAGCAGTGGTGCAGAGCTACGTATGATAGCAGGCTGGAGGGCCCACAGCAGCGGCGGAGAGCAGCACAGCAGAGCAGCAGCTAAGCAGAGCAAGGCACCCAGGTCAGCACATCGTACCTGAAAACCCTGGCAGTGTTGAGGTAACTGAAGGGCAAGAAGGCAGCTTGGAAAAGGATAAGGACACCACACTTGTGCACAGGGAGGATAAACTTTCAAGGGAGGATATAGAGCAGGGGTGTCAAACTGGATTTCTTGGAAGGCCGGAGCAGCATTGTACTTTTCCGGGGGGACGGGACGGGACGGGACGGGGGGGGACGGCATGGACGCCTCCTGCAATACCCCGACGACCAGGGGTGGGGGTGTGCCCCATTTTGTTACACTTTGTAACAGGGAAAATATATTTTTTGAAATTTTTTATTTTTTAACAAACCAAAAAATCATGAAGATAAGAGACTGACATTATAGTGACTTGCAAGATTATTGTCTGCTACAATGTCTTGCCCGTCAACGACTTCTTCAACTTCAACCACAATAACACATGGGCAAACAACTGATACAAACTCAAGGTAAACCGCTCCAAACTCATCCACAGAGTGGTCAACGCCTGGAACGCCCTACCTGACTCCATGGTCGCAGCCTCAACCCCTCGCAGCTTGGACCTCAAACTGTCTACCGTGGGCCGGTGTGCCTACCGCCCCTGTCCTACTGTCCCCATTCATCTGTATTTACTCCCTGTGTTCATGTTTATGTCCATACCTATGCGTGTTATCCTGCACATGTTTGAGAAACAAATAAAATAAATTAAAATGTCATATATTTGAGCTGATGCCCACAGAAGACCCAAACTATGTATGTGTCAAATGTAAAGTATATGAATTACTGGAAGAAAAAGGGTCTAGAAGCAACTCTTAAGCATTCTGAAACTCAATGAACAAAGCGAGAATCCCCAACCTAAACAAGAAGACTACACCCAAATTAAAAACAATTGGGAGCAAAGAGCTTCCATAAAAAATGATCCTATATATCAGGGCTGTCAAACTCGCAGCCCGTGGGCCGAATGCATCACATGCTGGCCACGCCCACACCTAGTTTAGCGAAGGGGGGAGAAGTCGCAATACGTCGCAGGACACCGCCATGACGAAGCAAATTTGACACCCCTGCTATATATGAACCTAAAGAGAAAGATGGATGGAAACCTGTCACTTTTAGAAGAAAACAGCAACCAAGAGCGAAGCCTGGACTATCTACCCTCGTCTACTCCAGGGAAGCCCTTCTGGATTGGAACTTCCATAGCCTCCCCCTAGAAGAAAACATGCACACACTCACAAAAGAGTTTCACTCATCAATAGTTTCTAAAAAGGAGACACAACCCAAGGAAGAATAGTATCCTAGACTTCCTTAGGGGAGCAAAAGGTGAATATTGTGATAGGAGATTCAATTCTTTGGGGAAGAGAAACTATAGTCTGCAGACTGAACAGTCAATCTAGGGAGGGATGTTATTTCCCTGGAGCAAAAATCAAAGATGTAACTGAGAACCGTACTTAAATATCAACCCCACGGATTACTACCTCTTTTTTCTCCGACACATGGGGGGACCAACGATACAACAATGATTCTGAAAAGAGTAACAAGAGATTACGATTAGCTAGGGAAGAAAGCTAAAGGATTGGGAGTACAACCACTTCCAACAAAAGGTCGATATCCAACGAGGGAGCAAAGGATTTTAGAAACGGACCACTGGCCTAAAAACTGATGCCGTCCAGAGACCTTCGTCTTCCTACTCCATGGTCTGCCTGACCTACCTGAAGGGCTCCTGGCAAGGGGTGGACTGCACCTCACAAGACCTGGAAAGAATATATTGGGAAAACGACTGGCTCATCTCATCAGAAGGGTTTGAAACTTAAATTGAGGTGGGGGGGATGGGGGGCAATCTTCAAGATCTTTAGAACCTAATTCCACTAACCAATAACCAATCATATAAGGAGGTAGGGAGTAAAGAGAGAGAAGAAAAAGAAAAAAACGGAAAAACACAATGGAGGGTGATGGAAAGAATGGAAAACTCAGTTACAAAACAGGAGATAAAAGAAACATACCCAAGACCCGTAAAGGACAAAAATGCCTATGCACAAAAACGCTCAGAAACAGGGTGAACTTGACGTATTAGCACAGGAAGGCAGATATGACATAGCTGCCGTTACTGAAAGATGGTGGGATGAAACTCATGACCGGAATGTACCGATGGAAGGATACAAACTGTTCAAAAGAAACAGGCCTAACAGAAGAGGAGGTGGAGTTGCATTACACATAAAAGATCACCAGAACTCTACAGAAAACCAAGGATGAAAACCTCCTAGAATCCATATGGGATCCTTTTATATTGATAAAAGGGGGGAAAATGAAATTGCTATAGGCGTATACTACAGGCCACCCACCAAGCAGAAGATATAGATGAATATTTTGCTACACAACTAACAAATGTACGTAGGAAACACACCACAATAGTAATGGGGGACTTTAACTATCCTGATATCAACTGGGAGACAAACCTTGCAGGAAGTGGGAGATCAAACAGATTCCTAACCAACTTGAGAAAGTCCAGAAATATTTCACAAGAAGAGTTCTCCATTCCTCTACTCATTGCAGAAGACCTTATGCCACCAGACTTGAAATTCTAGACCTAGAAAACCTAGAACTATGTCGCCTTCGGTCCAATCTAAGTATAGTATATAAAATCATACATTGCAATGTCCTACCTGTCAATGAATACCTCAGCTTCAGCCACAACAACACAAGAGCAAACAATAGGTACAAACTCAAGGTTAATCGCACCAAACTGGATTGCAGGAAATACGGCTTCAGCAACAGAGTGGTCAATGTCTGGAATACTCTACCTGACTCTGTGGTTTCTTCCCCAAACCCCAAAAACTTTAACCTTAGACTGACTGCTATTGACCTCACCCCTTTCCTAAGAGGTCTGTAGGGGGCGTGCATAAGCGCACCAACGTGCTTACCATTCCTGTCCTATTGTTTCTTTTGTTTTTCTTATGTGTATCCATGTATTCATAACTATGTTTCTACTTATACCTATTATCTTGTAAGCAATTGACAAACCAAATAAAATAAATAAATAGATAAATAAATAAATAAAAACTTGGCCGACAACTTTGTCCTCCAAAAGGTAGAGGAGGGAACTAGAGGAAAAGCTATACTTGGACCTAATTCTTACTAATAGAGAAGAAGTGACAGAGGGAGTTGAAGTTGACGGACATTTAGGCGAGAGTGACCGCATCATTTTGGAATTCAATATAATGCAAACTCAAGCGATAGAACATAATCCAGCCAGTGTCTTAAACTTTTAAAAAGCTGATTGAGATTGAGGTAGGTCTGACAGCAAGATTAAACAGTCTCCAATCCACCTCTCCTTTGAAGGCAACAGTTTTTCCCAAAATCTCTTGGTGTCAATGTCACCATCTCCTAAATGAAAGCCACTCATTTGCTAACTTTCACCACATTATTCACCCTTCCAAAATGTGGAGTAATTAACTGCTACTTACTGATATAAAGATATTCAGCAAGTTTTCCAAAGTGGGCAGCTGTGGAATGAGCTTCTGCACCACCTTACTGAAGGCCTCAAATATTGAGTGATCATAGATGCTGGTCAAATAAAAGCTAAAAAAAAGAAAGAAAAAAAGAAGAACTCTAATTAGTTACCTGGTTTCAAACGTTACCTGCTGTTTTGGCCAAACTAATACCACTGATATCATTTCCCAACTGGAATCTGTTTTCTTTTGTCTATGTGACTCACGATTATCTAATACAGTTATGATTTGCCGAAACAACCTGGATCTGCATGGCACATTAAACCCTAATCAAATATACTGGTTAGTGCTTGTCTCTGAAAAAGTAGGCATTGGAAAAAAAAGATTACAAAATCTGCGCTAACAGTTTCATTTCAATTAACCAATTAATAAACTGGTTAATATGTGAATAAACAATCTATATTTATACCAAGTCAAGAAATGGACTAACATGTGAAAGAGGAAAGAACTTTGTTTCAAGATGAACCAAATTTCAGTTTTCAGAAATTAAGAAAACGATAACATCAGAAAAATACTAGATGAGAAAAAGTAGAATTGCTATCTGGGACAGCATTTCAGATTCAGAAAAAGTATATTCTCGGTTTGGGCTGTTCCCTTCCCCACCCCAAAATTAGTGCTGGATCGTTAAACCAGCGTGCAGGTCATTGAGTGGAGCATGAGGTGCCTCAGGCATGGGGAAGGCCCTTGGAAGCTGAGCAGAGGCCCAGCCCGCCTGCCCTGTCCCTCCCAAGGCCTCCTCCATCACCACCTGGATGCCCCATGCTCTTTCTGACCCCTGGCCTCACAGGCCTTTCCCCACTCCCACCCAGCAGCCCAAACACCCTCCTCCTCTGGGATGGATTGCCTTATGGCTGCACGGCACAATTCTGGAAGCTGCTGCCACTTTCTGTGTGACACAATATGGCGGCCACATTCGGGTTGCCATCGTGCAGCCGGGAACAAGTTGTGCCATTTTGCTGCTTACGGCAGATTGCACTGTGGTTTCTGCAGCTTTCAGACCTTGTCAAGGCCGCAAAATGCAGCATTTCCTGCAACAGGGGGGCACGTCCGGGCCAGGGAAAAACGGCAGCCACTTCTGGAACCGTGTCGTGTCTACAGCCAACCAGCATTTCTTTCCTGAGAGGCTGTCTCTGTGCTGCTGAGGTGTTTTGGAAACCTCGGCTGCTCCAGCCTCTGAGCCCAGCTTCCAATTAGGAGCAGCCGCTGTGAGCAACTCCAGGCGGTTCACTTGCCTCAGGTGCAGTTTCTCTAAGCCGGCATCGGCCAGGTCGTCATTGGCTCTCTGGTGGATGTCCCTCTGGGTTTCAATCTTATGGTCGTCCGATAAGCCATCCACTTTGTGAATGAAAACTTCAAAGTTCATTTCTGGGTTGATTTTGTAGGCTTTGGAAACCGTAATGTGGAGCCTGGTTAGCGCTTCCATGTAGTCGTCCTGCAACAGAGAGGGAGCGGAGCCGTTTCTGCCGGAGGCGCTTGGTTCCCCAGGCCCCGTGAACGCCCAGCCAGGCTGCTCCAGGAGCCCCTGCCGACCTTGGGCCTGCCCAGGACCCCCCAGAGCAGCTCCGGCCCTTCGGTCCTTTCGGACCCGGGTGGGGAGGACCCAGGCGGTGGGGGGGGGGGGTTGAAGCAAACCGCGGCCCTTCATCGCGCCGTCACCGCCACCCGCGGTCCCTTCACACCGAGCTCGGCCGGGGGGAGCCTCTCCTCGCCCACCTGCGCGTCAATGACGTAGATGAGCGCCCCGGTGCCTCGGAAGATGAGCTCGTAGTCGAAGGCGGGGTCGAAGAAGTCCATCTGGCCGGGGAAGTCCCAGATCTGGAAGTTGACGAAGGAGCTGCTGGAGACGTCGTCCTTGTGGATCTTGGTGGTGCTCTCCAGGAAGAGCGTCTCGTTGGGGGACATCTTGTGGAAGACCACCTGCCGGGCGCGCAACAGACGGGCGGCTCAGGCCGGCCCCCCCCCGCCGCCCCCGCCCGCCCCGCCGCGCCCGCCCGCCCGCCCGCCCGCCGCTCCGCCGCCCCCCGGCACCTTCTGGATGGAGGACTTCCCGCTGCGCCGCAGCCCCATCAGCAGGATGCGGGGCTGCTTGGAGGAGTCGCCCCCGCCGGCCCCCAGCACGCCGCCGCCGCCGGGTCCCGCAAGGCCGATCCCGCCGCCCCCGCCGCCTGCCCCCGCCAGCTCGGCCCCGTCCTCCTCGCCCGCCTCGTCCTCGTCGGCGCCGTAGCCGAAGTCTTTGGGGAAGGCATCGGCCGCGCCCAGGCTGCCCGCGGGCAAAGCTGAGCCGGGCGGCTGAGCCGGCTCCTCTGCGGCGCCCGCGGCCCCGAACGGCATGGCGGCCATGACGAGCCCGGCCCCAGGCGGACGCCCGGCCGATTGGGCGCCGCCGGGGCCACGTGACCCCGCGGGACCGCCTCCCGGCCGCTGGGCCGCTTCCGGGTCCGGCCTGCCGCGGGCGCCCCCTCCGGCCGGGCGGTTGCAGGGCAGCCAAGAGGCGCCCAGCCCGCCCCCGCCCCCGCCGCCTCGCGATCGAAGCCGGGAAGGGAAGAGGCAGCGCGCCGCCAGGTTCGCGTCCTTGTGAGCCACGACTTGTCGGGAGGGCACGACCTGGTGCATCTGAGGGACGGCGTGGAAGGGGCGGCTGTCGGGGAGGGGGAGATTCTGAGCTCCCAGAGGGGAATTTCCAGTGCAGGGGATGGGAAAGGTCCCAGATTTAATTGCACAGTTGAAACTAGCCCCAGCCTTAAGAAGCCTCACTTCTTCATAAGATGAGGCTGCTCGGCTAATATTTAGGGAAGATCAATGAGAAGAAGTTAGCAAAACTACAAAGCAGGGTCCCATATTATGGCCAGATATGACATAAAGTACATAACCCACAGGCAAAACCTGGATTGACCATTACTTGAGCTGCAAAGCGATTTCCAGTTTCTTAATAATTTCCAGAATAAGATCTTTCAAAGCTGGGACATGAGAATGTATTTATTTCCTGGATTGCTTCCAGAGACAAAAGATGTAAAAAACAAATTCATTTTATTTCAGGTAGACTCTATCACTCCCTGGAAGCTCTATAAAATGTTGCCCTCCCCCCCCCCCCCCCCCCCCCCCCCCCCCCGCAAACCTTCCCCCACCTTTCCCCTTTGCGCCCGTATCAGACCACCTTCAGCAGATGAAAACTCTGATGATGCAGGAAAAGCAGGGATCCCTCCGCTCTCACGTTCTATCCAGGCTTGCAGTGGAGAAGGAACTTGAGGAAAGACGTGGAGTCCCAAAGGTGCTCCTCCAAAAGGCAACTGGACTTCGTTTTTTGTTGAAGATGCTTCTCATCCAAGAAGCTTCTTCAGTTCTGACCGAAGGGTGGAGCATGAAAGGATTTATATTCCTTGTGGTCATTCTTCCATCTTCCACCATTCAGTCAGAACTGAAGAAGCTTCTTGATGAGAGGTGAAACATCTTCAAGGGCAAACAAAGTCCAGTTGCCTTTTGAAGAAGCATCTTTGGGACAACCATGTCCAGGATGACTAAGAATCTCCCTAGACAGAAAGACACGGAGGTTGGATGAAGGAAGGAGGCAGGGAATGGCTTGGAGGTCACTTATTATAGAATAACTGAAAATGCCCAACCCCTCCTACAAATCGCAAAAAGAAACTATTTGAAATGCATTACTTAATTACTGAAAAGTGTTTAGTCTTTTCACTGCAAATACCAAATTGTCCCCACTCCTTTACTGTATAACTGGCTACTTTCTTTTCAATGGCAAGGGGCTTCAAAAGCTCCACAGGCAAGTTTACAAGAAAGATGATCCTTTAGTTGTAGTGGAGAATCATTCAGATTCGGGTTAACTGCTATACTTGGTGGTACCTTTTCCCTTCTAGTTTAGTTCAGTGGGAATCTGGAGTAATCAAAGGTAGGAGGTGAGGAATAAAGATGAGTGTTTGCAGATTGCATGAAGGCTGAAGGAGAAGAGATGGAGAGATAGAATGAGGCATTTTAAGGTGAACCATTTGCAGGCAGAATTGGGAAAGTCCAAGGATATGGGGTAGAAAAGGTATCATTGGGAAAAAGAAGTTGCTTCCCTCCTTGTATACTGAAGAATGCTAAGAGAAGGAAACACAATGAACACATGAACACAAGCAAACTTGAGAACAGAAATAAGTAGGAGCTTATATAGTCTCTAGGAATTTCACCGGGCATCTGTGAATGGGCATACCTCATGGTTTACAGACAAACCCAATCTACAAACATATAGAAAAATATACAGCTATATTCTGTATATAAAATATACAGAAAAAGGCAAAATAGAACTTTCCTCCCACCAATGGCAGATTCTTATGTTTCCTTTTAAATGAGTTTAAAACATTCCTTCTCCAGGAAACGGATGAAAATCTGGGCTGTCTCACAGTCCCATTTCTTGGGGAAGGGATAAGAAAAGGGGCTGGATGGGGAGCAACGGGTTGAAACTAAACCCTGGCAAGACCAAGTGGCCCTACGTTTGGGGTTCGTTGGCTCAGGGAGAATTGCCATCTTTGGTCTTGGACCCTGTGCGTAATCTGGGGGTTCTCCTGGACTCGTGACTCCGGCTAGAAGAGCAGGTGGTGGTCGTAGCCAGGAGGGGCTTTGTGCAACTGCGGGTTGTGCATCAATTACACCCTTTCCTGGACCAGCGGTCCCTACTCACGGTCACTCATGCCCTGGTTACTTCCCGCCTTGATTATTGCAATGCACTCTATACATGGGGCTGCCCTTGAAGGACATTGGGAAGCTCCAGTTGGTGCGAAATGCAGCGGCCCGCATGGTTTTGTGCCGACTGCGGTGTGCACACGTGTCACCTCTCCTGCGGGAGCTGCATTGGTTGCCGATTTGCTTTCGGGTGCAATTCAAGGTGCTGGTTGTCCCCTTTAAAGCCCTTCATGGCTTGGGACCAGGTGAAATAGGGATAACCGTCTACATGACCCATTAGAGTGGGGAGGCAAGGAATGCTGTGGGTCCCGTCCCCTAAGGATACACCTGGTGAGACCCAGAAGGAAGGGCCTTCTCCGTGGTGGCTCCCACTCTCTGGAACATCATCCCCCCAGAGATTAGTGCACTGAAGCCCCCCTAAAGGCACAGCCACTGGAGGGGAGGAAGTGGAAGCATTTGCTACAGCATCATTCTGTGACTTGTCTTAACCTGAGCTCTACACTCAAGAAACCTGGGTGTTAAAATAACAAATATAACAATTATATGATATCGTATACAAACATTTATTATAATAAATATAGTAAATCCGCTCTTTCTTAAGACTTAATCTCGGTGTTCCAGGCTGGTTGGAGCCCATCCAGCTGCCCACTCAGCAGGCCCTTCAGGGGACTTGCCTGGAAGGACCCTGGACAGGCAGGGGGGCAGCGCTTCTCTCCGGGCAGGCCAGGCCCAGCAAGGGTTCACAGGTTGCCATGTGGATAAAGCCCCGACTTAAAGCTGCTGGAGATCAGGGGGCTACAGACCTAGACGAAAAGAGGAGTTGCCGCTGCTGGTGGGACAGTGACAGGGGGCAACATCCGATTAGATTAACAGAGGTGGAAGGGATCTTGTAGGTCACCTGGTCCAACACCCCACCACTACCCAAGCAGGAGACCCTACACCATTTCTGACAAGTGGCAGTCCAGTCTCTTCTTGAAGGCCTCCAGTCATGAAGCTCCCACAACTTCCGAAGGCAACTTCTCTTCCGTGGGTTGATTGATCTCCCTGTCAGGAAATTCCCCCTTATTTCCAGGTTGAATCTCTCCGTTTCCATCCATTGTTCCTTGTTTGCCTTTCCGGTGCCTTGCTTGACCCCTTCCTTCTCTCTGGGGCATCTCAGACATTGGAGGGCGGCTCTCCTGTGTCCCCTTCTCTTCTTCGCCACGCCCGGTTCCTGCAACCGCTCATCGTATGTTTGAGGCTCCAGTCCCTTCATCTTCCCGATTGTCCACCAGCCTGCCTTCCCCGCCGCAACTCTTCCCTTCGTCGCATCCCCGAGGAACAGGCGCTCCTGCGGGTGTGGCCCGCCCTGCCTTCCCTTCTAGTGAAGCGAGCTCCGCGGTGCGTCCGCCTCCTCCGACCCGTGTTGGAGACGGGGCGTTTCCCGGCCAAAGGAAAGGAAGGGAAGGGCGGGCGGGCGGGGCGCAGAGCTTAGCCGGACCCCCTGCTTTACCTTTCTTCGCTGCTGCGCCTCCTCGGCGCCGTACAGCATAGCGGCTATGACGAGCCCTGCCCCAGGCGGACGCCCGACCGATTGGTCACCGCCGCGGCCACGTGACCCCCCGCGAGACCACCTCCCTGCCGCTGGGCCGTTTCCGGGTCCGGTCCGCCTCGGGTGCCCCCTCCGGCCGGGTAGTTGCAGGGCCGCCGAGCGGCTTCCATCCCGGCCCCCCTGCAGCCGCCCCCGCGCCTCGCGATCAGAGATTAGGGCGCGGGCTCGAAGCCGGGAAAGGAAGACTTGAGGGCAATTGGGTTTTAAGTCTAAAACCTCCATGTATCCAAACAGAGGCTTAAACGTAGTTTATCCTAAAGACTAATTTGTTACATTTGTAATTATAGAAAGTATCTTGATATTAGACTTATTTTTTTGGTCTTAATTTGCCTTGTTAGAAAAGTTTACCTTACTTTACACCTGCACTTCTCAGCTTTTTATCTTATTAGTTTTCCTTTATTGCCATAATCCTTTATTATTTCTAAACTTGAAGTGATGCTTTTATGTCCTTTTTATTTCCTCTTTCTCAAAATCCTAGGCACATTTCATCTTTTCACCTAATAAATGACACCTTAACTCTAATATTAGCAATTATTCCAGAATATATTAGTACAACATTGTCACTGATATGTAATTTCAGAATGAAACATGAACGTATTTCTAGGGGGAATGTGTAAACCTTTGATACCTAAAAATACAGATAATCCTCAATTTACAGTAGCAAATGGGATACCATCATGGAGAGATGCAATCGTGGTTTTTTACTTATCCCTTAGTACTAGAAATCTGTTGTCCAGTGCTATCACTAATTGAATCCCACATTATTAGATGTGGCTACTTCCTGCTAACTTCCCACAACCATAGTGGAGAAGCTGGGAAAAACTTGCAAGTCCAAGGACAGCAGGCAAGTGGCTGCTGCCCAGTGGGAAAAGGAACAAGTGTGTGTAGATCAGGAAGGGTGCACAATAGTGTGGATTGTGCTAGAGATGTGTAGATTAGGAAGGATGCTTTGGGGGAGCAATACTGGTCAAGAAGGACCAGCCCAAGTACAGCCAGGCTGGGTGGGGAACATGCAATGATGGAGTGCTATACAATCAGTTGCAAGTGTGAGCCAGTTGCCAAATGCCCAGATTATGACCACAGGTGTGCTGGGGTGGCCAGCACTCCAAAGAGCGGTTGTAACCACCATTTGTTCAGCCTCATTGTAACTTGAAATGGTTGCAGAAAAAGTTGCTCAGCTCTGCACTTTATGGGGCTAGCCTGAACAGCCCTCCAAGTACAACCTGGCCACAAGAAAAAGATGCAAGACCCCAGACACGCATCCTCCCATATCTTTTATTGAGGCTTGGACAAGGCTTATTCTCCCCGTTTCTCTTCCTGCGGTGGTTCGTACTGGGCCAGCTGAAAAGGAGGGCAGGCAGTTAGCTTCGCCCAGGCATAGGCCATGCTCCCTAGCAGCAGCAAGCCGAGGCCTCCTCCGGGGAGCCTCCTTTACCTTGGCTTTCAGCTTCCGGTTTTCTTCCAGGAGGGCTTCGTACTTCTCCTTCATCTCGGCCACCTCCAGGCGGAGGGCTTCCACCTCGGGGTTCTCGGGCGCCGCGGCTCCCAGGTGGTGCTTCAGGAAGCTGGGAGGCGGCAGTCAAGGGCCGTGGCGGCTCCCAAGGCCCGCCCCTCCCCCCACTCCCGGCCCCTCTGCCCGGCCAAGGATACTCCAGGGCGCAGCTGGGCTTCTCGGGCTCCTCGTACAGCGCCACCAGCACTGCAGGGCGAGAAAGCGGAAGCGGCGCTGGCAACCCGGCGGGCAGAACCGAGGGACGCCTCGCCCGGCAACCTCCCCCCCCCCGCCCCTCCAGCGCCGAGCCGCCTCACCTTTGGTCAGGGTGTCCATCACGCCGGACTTCTCCAGGTAGCGCCGGAACTGCTCCCGCTTGGAGTCGGCGGCCTACACCGCAAGGCGGGCGGGAAGGAGGGAGGGAGTCAAGCGCGGTCCGCCCCACCCCCGAAGCCCGGTCCTGCCGGCTCCCCCCCTCCTCACCTTGTAGCTGGCCATGGGCGCCTCCGGCTCCTCTCGCTGCTGCTGCCGCTACCGCTGCTCTCGGGCCACCCGCGCAGGAAACGGGAGGACGTGTGCGCCGCCGCCCGCCTCTTAAGCGCGCCGCGGCGTCCGCGCGTCGCCATGGACACCAATTGGCACCGCCCCCACGGGCCCCTCCTCTTCCGCCGCCGGCTTCCCCTCTGTGCTTTGGGCGAGAGGTGCAGGAAGAGGGCGGGGCTTTCCTCTGCGGGAGGAGGAGGAAGTCCCACCCACTCCCTCTTGGCCGAGTGAGGCCCTCTGAGGAGCGGTCGCCTGTCCTTCTGGTGCGAAGCCTCGGCCGCTCCGGCTCAGCTCCCTTCCCGGTCGGAAGGATCCTTGCCCGGACGGCCCTGCTGGACCCGGGTCATGGCACCCCTTTCCGTGAATGGGAGTCGGTGGTGGTTGACGGGCTGCGTGCTTCTCATTTCATGAGCCAGGTTGAAACTTGAGAATTGTACGTATGTATGTATGTAATGTATGTAAAGGGCCACTACATTGCTACAGAAATGCACGGAGCCAAATACGAAAACCACCTAGAATGTACATGGGCCAATATAAAGAAAGGGAAAAAAGAACAACATGGCTATAAGTACATATATAACTACAGGCTACCCAACCAAGCAGAAAAAAATAGATGTATTTTTTTCCAGTCAACTAACATATGTAGGAGAAACACTACAATAGTAATGGGGGACTTCAATTACCCTGATATCAATTGGAAGGCTAATTCTTCACCAAGTGAGAAATCAAATAGGTTCTTGGCCAAACTAGCTGACAACTTTTGTCCAAAAGGTAGAGGGAATTAGAGGGACAGCCATGCTGGACTTAATCCTTACAGAGAAGAAGTTATAGAGGGGGTTGAAACTTTAGGAACCTTGGGTGAGAGTGACCATGTCATACTAGAATCCAACATAACACAAACACAAGCAATAGAACAATGATACCAGCATCCTAGACTTTAAAAGAGCTGATTTTAACAAACTCAGAACTTGGGAAAGATTCCTTGGATGAAAATCCTAAGAGGAAAACAACTCAAGAAGCTTGGGAAACTCTGAAAAGTACAGTGATAAAAGCCCAGGCTAGCACAATACCACTGAGAAAGAAAAACAAGAAATCCAAGAAGAAACCTGCATGGCTGAAAAAAGATCTGACAAATTGAAAAACGAAAAGGATATGTACAAAAAATTGAAAGGATGCATAAGTAAGGCAGAATATCAGCAGTTAGCCAGAATCTGCAAAGCAGGGAAGCAAAGGCTCAGAATGAACAAAGACTTGCAACAAAAGTCAAAGGTAATTAAAATAAATCTTCCAACATATAAATAACATATAAATAGTCAGTCCACTAAAGAGAGAAGACCGCAAGGAAATAACGGAGCAGAGAGAAAACAGCTGCTTGACTCATTCTTTGCATCAGTCTTCATGCAAAAAGAAACAATAGTCCAACCTACCAAAAACGTAACTGTAAAAGACAGACTAGTAATAAAGGTTGAAATGAGCAAAAAAAATGATAAAAGAACACCTTTCTGATCTTGATGAATATAAATCACTGGGATCTGATAGATGATATCCCAGAGTTCTAAAGGAGCTGGCAGATGCCATCTCAGAACCACTGTATCACATCTTTCAAAAATCCTGGAGCACTGGGGAATTACCAGAGAATGGAAAAGAGCTGATATGGTTCCCATCTTCAAAACAGAGAAAAAACAGACCCAGGAAACTACAGGCCAATCATCAATATCTGGAAAGTACTGGAAAAGGTAACATCTGCCAACATCTAGAAATGAGTAAAGTAAATAGAAGTCATCATAGGTTGATCATGCCAAACTAATCTTATTTCATTTTTCAATATAGTGACTAAATTAGTAGATCAGCTAAATACTTTGGACATAATATATTTAGACTTCAGCAAGGCATTTGACAAAGTAGACCACAACCTACTTCTTAGTAAGCTAGAAAAAATGTGGGATAGCAGCACCATCATCCTTCGGGGTACTACATCTACATGGAGGAAGTAAGCAGTGGGGTGCTACAAGGTTCCATCTTAGGCTCAGTATTCTTCAATATCTTCATAAATAATTATTTGAGGGAATAGAAGGGGAACTTACCAAATTTGCAGATGATACTAAGCTGGCAGGAATAGCCAACACCCCAGATGATAGGCTCAAGATCCAGATGGATCTTGACAGACTTGAACACTGGGTCCTATCTAACACAATGAAATTCAATGTAGAGAAAAGTAAAGTTTTAACACTCGGGCAAGAAAGACCAAAAGTACACATATAGACTGGGTGAAACCAGGTTTAATAGCAGTAACTATAAGAAGGAGCTTGGAATTTTCATGGACAACAATTAAATATGAGCCAGCAGAGTGTAGTGGCAGCCAAAAAAGCCAATTTAGGATTGCATTAACAGGGATATAATCAAGATCAAGGGAGGTATTAATACCGCTCTGTAATGCCTTAGTAAGACCACACCTAGAATACTGCATCCAGTTTTGGTCATCAAATTATAAAAAAAAATGTTGAGACTCTAAAAAGAGCAGAGAAGAGCAACCAAAATGATTAGGGGACTGGAGGCTGAAACACCGTAATTTTTGCTCCATAAGATGCATCTTTTTGTCTCCCCAAAGTGGCTGGAAATGTCTGTCTTGTGGAGCAAATATTGCTGAAGCCCTGTCCACCTACTGTCCCCACCCTTTGGCCATTTTAGGCCTCTGCATGTCCCATTTTTGGCCTCTGTGCCACATTTTTGGCCCATTCCAGGTGGAGGTGATTGCTGCTGCTGAATGCAGCTTGCAGGATGCCTAGATCTGGCCCATGGGGCTGCCCTGGCAGCAGCAAAGGACCAGCCTACGGTGCTTTTGCCAGCAAAAATAGCTCGGGAGGACCACATGGCAGAGGGTTGCAGGAGGCTGTCGCAGAGTTTGGGAGCCCATATTCACTGGCAGAACACACAGGCCAGCACAGGCGTCCTTCGATATGAGTGATGTTGAGCTGGCCACACGCACCCCGCCCCTCAAGGTCAACCACAACCCTGATGCGACCCTCAATGAAATTGAGTTTGACACCTCTATGCTAAAGGCTTGAAACCAGGCAATGGTGAGTTCTAGTCCTGCCTTAGTTGTGAAAAGTTGACTGGATGACTTTAGGATCAGTCCCACTCTCTCAGCCCAAACCACCTCACAGGGTTGTTGTGGGGGGAAATGGGAGGATGAAGGAATATTAGATATGCTTGCTGCCTTGAGTTATAAATGTAATAAAAATGGAATATAAAATTAAAAATCTCAGGGGCTAGAAGTGGAATGATTTGTTTTTTTGTCCCAGGACATATGTTAGTCGGTTCTGGAGTTTTTTATCTATATAAATTGTGTCAATGTTTTTCTTTGGCTATCAATCAATAAGTCACTTAGATTACATGGGCAATATAAATTGTCTTTAAAAAACCCAAGGAAATGTACAATTACAAGCCAAAGTAGAATCTCACTTTCTGTTGCCACAGAGAGGGAGCTTGGGCAAGCTTATCTCTTCATACCAAAGGAGCAAGAATGGAATAAAAATGGTAGTGTTTTCTATTCAGTCTCTGCAAACACCACTGCATACAATTGTTTATTTAAATATTTAATTTTATTTATTTAAATAGATTTATATGACCACCCATCTTGATTCTGGGCAACTAACAAAGATTTAGAAATGCAGCATAAATTTTGTGTGTGTGTGTGTGTGTGTGTGTGTGTGTGTGTGTGTGTATACCAACTAACACCAACTAACAAAGTGGTTTCAGAAAATACTGTTCACCAACCTTTGTCCCCACGCCTAGGAAAACGGGTTGTGAACCTTCTGGGAGGTAACAGTAAGGACCAGCCAAACTCTGGACCAATGAGGTTTCAGGAGGCAGACACAGGTAGAACAGTTTGCTTTCTGGGAGATTGCATATAACAATCCATGACTGACAGGGCCAAAATTGAGCCCCTTCTGCCTGACCAGGGATAAAAAAAACACAGGGATAAGACGTCTTCAAGTATCTGGCTGTGTGTTATGTAAGACTTTAGAGGTAATAACCAGCACCTGTAGATGCAACTGGAAGCAAATTGGGAGCCAGTGCAGACTGCAAAGCAAAGGTGTAATATGGACATAATGAAACATACCCATAATTGCTTCTGCTTTTGTATTCTGGATCAAGTGAAACCTGTGGAGGTTCTTCAAGGGCAGCTCCATGTAAAGTGCATTGCATTTATCCATTTGAGAGGTGGTCAAAGCATGAGCGGCCATGTATAGTACCTCTTCACCCAGGAAAGGGAACAATTGGTATAAAACATGGAAGTGGTGGAAATCTACCCTCCACATTCAATCCTCCCATCAACACTGGTTGCAACCAATTCCAGAGAAGGGAAGAGACTCGGCAGAACACTCTGCACCCAACTCACATAAGTTCAGAAGTTGATCATGGATAGTAAGGATCAAAGGCACCAGAGAGCAAGGATGGATACACTACCCCCATCTTTCCCCCACAAGTGCAGTCCGTGCTGTTTCAGATCCGTATCCCTGCCTGAAACATCCCTTGATGAAATATGTGTTAACCTCCTTTCAAAATGAATATATTTATCCACTCAAATCAGTCTATTACCATTTATGAGGCATGAAATGATGCTGGAGGAAATGCAAGCTGATGATCTGAGGAGGTCTCCTCTAAAGCATCTGGACACCAGCAAGCTTTCGTCTTTCTCAAGGCAGGCCATCTTCACATGATCGGCTTCTCAGTTTTGAGCAAGTTTTTGTGCAAATGAAACTATGGCATAGCACTGCAAGTAATTTGCCATATATAGTTCAAAGGCAAGAGTCATTGGAGCAGCCCCTCAATGCTTAGAAAAATCAAGTCAAAAAGGAAGGTGACAGAAACCTGGTATTGACACTGATGATACAAGCAGGAGCTAAAATCCATTACTGACAAAAAAAATCTAGCAAAAGACTGTCCATAAAATCATAACGACTCTGAAAGTCTGAACAATTTAGCAATACAAAAGCAGCATATAATAATATATTGTCATACAAAGTATAGGATACTATGAAAATATGAAAACAAAACAATTTTTTTTTTAAAATTATCCTTCAGAATTATACAGTGTTATTGAATATTGTGTTCTACTGGTTTGCTGGTGAGAAAAACACATTGAACAATACAGCAAGTATCACAAAGATTAAAAATGCACTTATACAAATCCAAAATCTAGGATCTTTAACAAAATTTTTATCAAAATTGCTGAATATGACATACCCTACTGACATTCCAGCAAGGCCGCCTGCAATGTGAGCCACAAAGGAAACCTTAGGGGGGAAAAACACACACACGTATATTTTTAATAGCTGTATTTCTGCTTGGAGTGTCAACCTTTGGTGCAAACAGTCAAAGGACAACAATTGCAGTATTAGTGAAAACCACAACAGAAATATTGGGCAAATATGCAGGATTTTGGTGCTTCCAGCATTACAAAGCATGGACAAGAACAGCTGCAAAGGGATTTGCAAGAACAGCTCCCAAGTAGTAGACTTTCTCTTAGTCAAACAGAAATAAAGAGTAGAGATGCCACAAGAAGGAAATTAGAAGATAAGGTTTCCAAAAGAACGCTTGATTCAGGGCATCTGTTAAATAATTGCTTTGCTCTTAAAAATACATCTCCAAACTGCAGCTCTGAATAGGATTGTCTACTGTATTCTACTGATTCTATTCATACATAGAGAATGCCAGAAATCAGTCATAGTTGGAATTTCTAGTACTGAATTGCTAGCATGGACTTGATTAGTTCTAATCCTAATACCATTACTGCGCAAGCTGCATTGATTACTGGTGTGCTTACAGGCCCAATTCAATGTATTCTTTGTTACCTTTAAAGCTCTGTATGTCGTGGATCCAAGGTACCTATGGAGCCATCTCTCCCCAATGGAACTAGCCTGTTCCACTTGCACCACGAAAGAAGCCTGCTATGGATCTTGTCTGATAAGGAATCCGGCAGGCAGGTTCAAAACCTTTTCTGCTGTGGCTCCCCGTCCCTGTGGAACACTCTGCCACTGGAGGTGAGAACTATTCCCACCCTTTTGGTGTTCTAAAAGGGTATTAAAATTTGATTTTACCAGTTGGCTTGGGATCCTGAGGGGCCTGTTCGCTGCTGGAAATAGTTGACCAGGTAAGAAGACTTCCTCTCCATGCTGGCCGTTTCTTAATTTGGGTTTTTATATAGTCTTTAAAATTTTAATCTGCATGTTTTTTATATTTTAATTATTTGTTTTACAACCTGTAAGCCTCCCAGAGTTACCTTATAGGGGAGGTGGGCAGCATAAAAATGTAATAAATAATTAATTATCCTGAGATTTGTGCTGAAAAGGGAAAAGAGGAGAGAACAAGTCAATGTAATACAAGATACAGAGGGAGAAAATGCAACATTCAGGTAATGTGGTAAGAAAAAGTACCTTGTGTAAGTAATAAAAGAATGCCAGATTATTTATCAGAATTGGCAGCAAAATGAACCAGCAAGCTAAGAGAGTGAAGGTAGTTTTTAACAGGAAATACATCCTTACCTGAATCCCAGTTGAAGGAGAGAGAAATCTTCTGTATAAAGCAAATCCTACATCTGTTCCAACTAGGAATTTAATGCAAATAGTCAGAAACTGACTTTTCAGAGTGTTGCATGTTAATCAAGAGATTGTTCCCAAAGAAATAAGTAGGTGAGTATCATTTAAAAAGGCAGAGGGCTGGCCCTGGCATGACGTTTAAGACTCTCCATACAAAGCTGGAGCCATTTTCTCTGAAGATGTTAAAATTGTCCACTCTATTTCATAATCTCTCTTCCCCCAAGCACATTGTGGAGCATACCAAGATACAACGTTACAGGAGTGAAGACTGGGTTGCTTTTTCCATTAGCACTGAGGAGCTTTGATAGCATCAGGAACGGGGACTTGAGGAAAGCAGTCCCATTATTTGTGCCCTCTACAAGGCACACCATGAAGCCTGCCTTCTTCCCTCACTCAGTCTGGAGAATTCGCTCCATTAAGAAGCAATGGGAAGCACTGACACATCACACAAGATGCAAACAGAATGTTATGGATAACTATGATTTTAAAAAGGCATAGGTGAAAAAACCTTTGGTGTGGTGGTACCTAATGACCTGAGGGAACTGAATTGAGCTTTTATTTCTTCATAGAGCCTCTCCCATGAAATGCCACTTACAATTTCATCAAGGTCATTAAGGTGAGTTTTACCCAAAACAATTCCTAATTTGCTGTTTTGGCCAAGGCACCATGATATAGCACTCTCCTTGATTGGGCAAAGCCAAAACCAGTCTCCCCCAAAGGCTGGTTTAAATGTATTGCCCATTTTCCAGAAACCAAAGCGCTTAAAAGCACTCAGAACAGACCCCTAGGTGATGTATCTCCAGCTATTCTCTTTGCAATAAACATCTGCTAAAACCCAAGGATTGGTCAAAGAGGCAACTAGTGACTGGTTTGGGTGGGTGACTGTATTGATTTTACTGGGAATCCACTTGTTTATTGCACATTTTTCTTTCTCCAACAAACTTTTTTTTCTATCCATAGATTGGCTTCTCATGCCTCATAAAGGAATTTCTTTTCTCTTTTTGCACATGCAAGCCTGCCCAGCCTCATGTTTCAGAATTAGTGCAAGGATGGTGAACTTCTATATTTCTGAATTTTATGTGGAAAGACCCAAAGTGCTCTTATTTCCTATTTTTTCTAGCACTGGGCCAAATGGAGAAGCTCTGGGAAGGAAGCCTAGGAACTCCCAGCTAAGGGATATCAGGCACCATTCCATAATGATCTTTTATTGGAGAATCTCTGGATGAAGAAACCAGGCAAATTTCCTTTTTTTTTCTTTTTCACCTCCCAGTTTATAACTGCATGCAACCATCAAGTACTTTTTAAATTTACAAATTTTAATAACAAACAGTTCCTCACACTGTCATTTTTCATTTTCTTTTGCAAAGCAAAAATGAAAGCGAGAAGTCATTTAATGTGTTGTTGTCACAGTCACTAGTCCAAATTTCCTTTCCAAACTCCCCATGATTGAAGCAGACCAATCCCTTCAGTTCAAAGTTATTATTAAAAATAACATTAACATCTCCATTGCAGACCTCCGATAAGACAAAACAAAAACTGTAGTTTGCTTTTCTGGTATTACACAGAATATGGTTTATTTTAAATATCCCAATAAACCACCCTCATCCAAACTGAAAGAGGACATCAAAATACAAACATTTTTCTCCATGACTGATACGTGAAAAAAGAATAGAAGTGTACATGAGCTTCACTGATGACAGAGAGAAAAAGCAGGATGGCAACATCTCAAATTTTAGCTCGGATAAGAGCACGTTAAAGAAGGTTACCTATTAAGCCAATGAATAGCAATCTTGCAATCCCAAAGAGAGGAATCATTTCTCTGAAGTTCTGAAAAAAAAAAGATATGGACAAACTCTAAAACAATTCCATTTCAAGCTATAAGCTACTTAACCAGAAAGTAAAATTATATCACCCCCCCAAAATTAAATCAAGATCACAGAATTATAGAATTTAAAGATCTGAAAGAGTCTTAAAAGATGCCCTAGTGGTCTGACTCTCTGCCTAATGCAAGAACAGCATTCCTGATAGATGGACTTCCATTCTCTGTTTAAAAACCTCAAAGGAGACTCCAGCGCTTCCCAGAACAATTCCATTACTGAACAGCCAATATGATATTAACATTTTCATACTGTGAGCGTAAATTATTGTTTTCTTTTGTAAATTTTTAACTTCACCTTTTATTATTTTTATAAAGAACTCAAGGTGGTGAACATACCTAATACCCTTTCCTCCCCCTATTTTCTCCACAACAATGACCCTGTGAGGTGAGTTGGCTGAGAGAGAACGACTAGTCCAAAGTCTCCTAGCTGGCTTTCATGCCTTAAGGCAGGACTAAAAATTATGAGTGTCCTGTTTCGAGCCTGGTGCCTTCACCACTAAACCAAACTGCTCTATTTTTATCCCCAAGGAAGCACTGCTTTGATGTGGTTGTGAGGCTTGTCTGTGCTGAGCAAGCAGATAGCTGCACCAGAGTTTCAAACACACTGGGCAGTTCTCATCCGATGAGCCAGACCAAGAAGTCTCTAGCCTGCTGCCTTAACCATTAGACCAAATCACTCTATTAGAGTCTCTGTTCACAGCTGCTTGCTCCGTTGCTGGTATTGGCTTTCATTTGCACTCACCTCTTCCCAAGCATACGGGATGTATCAACAGAGTCTGTCCAGATCCAAGCGGTTTGGCCTTTTGCAATTGATAGACAGAAATTTTGGTCAATGCAGATTTTTTTATCAAAGATGTTTTTGGTGTGCTAATAACTACTGAGACTATCACACCTCATGCCATAATCTTTCAATTTTGATTTTCAGGTCTTGATCTATTCTTTTAGGATTTTATTCTCCATTTCTTTTATTATCTCCTGGTATTTCCACCTCAATTATCCATGCTTTCTTCTTTTCAACCACAGTTAAATCTAGTGTGTTCTGACCCAAGATTTTATCAGTCTGTATTCAATAATCCCACAATATTTTAACCTGCTCATTTTTGACAACTATTTTTCATTATGTTTCACTGTTTATTTCATTGAAAACATTTTCAATTTTTCACCATGCAAACTTCTGCTATTCTCACAAGCCCTTTTGTTTGTGGAGCTTGTGGAGCCACCTTAACAAATGCAGCCCGCAAGAGCAGGGGCCTCCGAACCAGGGGTGGGATTCTACTAGTTCGCACCTATTTGCTAGAACCGGTTAACATTCTAAGCAGTTTGGAGAACCGGTTGTTAGAAGAAATTACTGGCCTAATCCTGTAAGGAAGGCAGGAAGGAAACATTGTTGCTTGGCAGGACTAGACTTCCTGTCTCTGGAACTTCTCTGGAGGTTTTTTCCCCCCTCCTTTGCTGGTACTTTGCTTGTGTGGAGTGACCATTCAAAGTTACAATGGCACTGAAAAAAGTGACATGACCGTTTTCACACTTACTACTGTTGCAGCATCCCCACAGTCATGACAGGCCAGGTGGAGGCCAGGTGGAGGAGATGTGTGCCTTGATGTGAGTGATATTGAGTTGGCCACATCCAGCCAATGGCATGACCACCAAGCCACGCCCACCATCTAAGCCATGCCCATAGAACCGGTTGTTAAAAAATTTGAATCCCACCCCTGCTCCAAATTTGGCAATTTCAAGACCTGTGGACTTCAACTCCCAGAATTCCCTAGCCAGAGCTAGACAATGATGAAACCTGGTTGCTATGAGGCAGCCTCAATGTGCTGAACCTCTCCTGGCATGGCATTGGCCGGGCATATCTTGCAAAAAGCATTAAGGTAGGCTGGGTGCTGCTGGGGCTCACAGTTGGCTAAGTCCCGGCTAGCTGGATGGGCAGAGCTCCATTATGGTCCTAAGTCAAAGATTACCCACTGTATATGGGGTGGTTTGGGGGGGGACTTTTCCATAGATCTTTCCAAAACTGGATTGTTTCTTTTTTATTTTATTTTCTTCAGAATTTCTTTTGCCATTTATACTTTGGCAGAATCTCCTCTGGTCTGATTGAAATAGCTGATTTTGCTTAAATTGGATGATTTGTGCCTTGAAGCCTTCAATTTTCCTAGTTACTGCTGTTATTTGTTCCTTTATGATTTCCTAAGGTTTTTCAATGTTTCAGTGCTATGTCAATACTTTTTATTAAGCTTGTCCTAATCTTTTACATTCTTTAATTCTTAAAAAACTTCTTTAATTTTTAAAAAACAACTTTCATGTTTTTTTTTAATTACTTCCATCTGATCTTAATTTCTTTCTTTCTTTCTTTGGCTTCCAGGGTGATCTTCCACTGTGGGACTGAATATGATTTTGCTTTTAGTTTTCTAATTTCAGTACCCAGTTATTCTGTAACCACCACTGCTGTTCTGTAGACAAGCTGACTGGTCTGTTCTATAGATGTTATTTTAATCCTTTGAAACGCCTTGTTCACATCCTTTATTATAGGTCTGTTTTGGGCACTGCTTTCAATGCCAGCAGTCTTGGCCACAATCTTCTCTTTTCATACTTCTGGTCAGAAGTTTGGTTCATAGACTGTTTCAGTGCTTACCTTTTCTGGTTCTGCTGTTATTAGTTCTTATAAGCAATGATGTCTATAGTTCAATCAGTTGTTTCCTTTATATTGCCAAATTGTGTTATCTAAGTTTCATTCTACTATTGGCTTTGGGTCTTTTATTTCCATAATTTTTCCAACTCTCTTCCAGTTTTGTTTCCATGAATATTTCTTTCTCGTAATGAATCTCTGATCTGCTAATTGTTGTTCAGTGATATTTGAGTCTGGATAAATTATTCTCCAATGTTCAAACATTCATTTTTAATCCCACTTTGTTGGCTCTGATTTATAATTGCAGGCCATAATGGTGTGATTTGAAACACAATTCATTTTTGCCTTGTCTGTGGCTGATGTTCTTCCAGTAACCCTACAGGCAGTGGTGGGATTCAGCTGGTTCTCACTGGTTCAGGAGAACCGGTTGTTAATTTTCTGAGCAGTTTGGGGAACTGGCTGTTGAAAGAAATAGCCTTCCAGCAACCTCAACTCCAGGTTGCAGGTATTGCTGATGAAAAGGAAAATATTCAGACAGAATGGTTTAGGTTTCCATGATGGCTGTGACTCATTGTATGTATTCCCCCATTTTTAATCTAATGATTGGTATTTAGGACAGCTTTTTGCAAGCAAAGAAGCTTTTTGTATTTTTGTACAGGTAATCCTTGACTTACAACAGTTCATTTAGTGACAGTGGCACTGAAAAAAGTGACTTATGACCAATGTTCACATTTACGACCATTGCATTCCCACAGTCACGTGATCAAAACTCAGATGGCTGACGACTGTCTCACATTTATGATGGCTAGTCTCCCAGGTCACGTGATTCCCTTTTGCAACCTCTGACCAGCAAAGTCAATGGGGAAGCCAGATCCACTTAACAGCTGGGTTACTAACTTAACAAATGCCGTGATTCACTTGACAAATGTGGCAACGAAAGTCATGAAATGGTGCAAAATAATTCCTCACTTTTGGGCTCAATTGTGGCTGTAAGTCAAGGAGAGGCAAGACCAGGTGTGACCGGGCCTGGCAGGGAGGGGAGGCGTTAAAAATAAGTAAATTCAAAAATAAAATAGTATATAAGATGCTTAAAGGTTTTACAAATAGTTGGACTGGATGACCTTGTGGTGTCCCTTCCAATTCTGTTAATCTGTTATCAAATGAAATATATTTCCTTGTATACACATGCTTTACTTTTATACTTTTCACATGCTCCATTGTTAAGCCTTTTGATATTTTTATCTTATGTACATGCCTTTTATAATATTATGATGTTCTAATCTCTTTGGGAAAGTGGTAGTAAATGATGAGCTTAGAAAGAGGCCCTGATGAGGGGATGCTTCCTTCCTTCACACTAGGGAAAGATGCCACGTGGGCAGCCAAAATGAGGGGCACGGGTATGGATGAGAACATAACGGAAGGAGGTAATTCTCCCTAGAGACATCCTGGGATTAGCTGCAACACCTGAGGACAAATCCAATGAGCTCGAACTGGGGAGCGAAGGAGTCTCAAAGAAGGAGGGCACTTGGGTGATGAGATGAAACTGGATATAGAAGTATGTTTTGAGGTTCTAAAGGTGTGGCTTTTGATTTTGAACCTGCTTGGTGAGGTTCTAAAGACCACAGATGCTTTGCAAACCGTCTTGTTATTTCTTTTTAATAAATCCTCTTTGTTTTCAACTATCCAAGTCTTTTTTGTTGTTGTTGGCTTTGAGTTATTTCCAACAGAGGGGAGGGGGGAGGCGTGGCCGGGTGAGGCAAGGCACCCCTTGAGGTGAGTGACGTTGAGTTGGCCACACCCACCCAGTCATATGATCACCCAGCCCCGCCCATCCAGCTGGTCATTAGGGCAGAGAACCAGTTATTGCATTATTTGAATCCCACCACTGCCTACAGGCCTAGACCCTGGCTGCTCAGCCATCTTTGGAGTCCCTTAACCAATTTATGACAAATGTCTCTAACATCTTGTTATGACTCCCCTTTGAAATTCAAACGAACAAAACAGAAAGCAGCCGTTTCACAATTAAATCAAACGGAAAGAAGTCTTACAAGATAACGGCTGGCAGAAACCTCAATCCACAGCATAAATCTTTACTCTGTCCGGCAAACCAGTCCTGGCAATAAATCAGTCTCAGAGCTCCTTGCTGTAACGTCCTCACTCAAATAGTCATTTTGTTCCTGGCAAAATGTACCAGCCCAGCTGTGTCCTTTTATACTCATTGAGGCAACATGCTAATTTACTGACTTGCTCTCCTCATTCGCTCCAGCTGATTTTGCCTTCTCAACCGTCTTCTATTTTTTACATTTAACCACAAATTTTCCAAGTTCTCATCTCCACTAGAAGACTCTCTCAAAACTTCCCTGTCAGCCATTCCCGGCTGTTGATCAGATAAGGAACCAGAGGAGGTCAAAGGTCCTGACAATTCTAATACATCAGGTCTGTTGTCCTTTGTCACGTCCATCTCCTCATCCTGGTTATCAGTCCAATCACTAAGCCAGGCCGGCTCATATTTTTCTGCCATGACCTCCTCACTTGAACTCATATCAGTCACAGGAGCTGAATCCAAGCCCGGAGCCACAACACATCTGATGTGGTCCTTGTTGACCTGGGGTGATGACTGATTAGTGTAGGATTCTTTTTCTGTTTTCTTACCATAATAAAAGAGTTAGTGACTGGCTTAGCCTGGCCCTTCTGCGAAGACTTTTGTGGCCTGGGTTGACCTTCTAGAATCTAGTATAACACACTCTGGCAACATAGCTCTCATCCTCTGAGACCATTGCAAGCCCCTCCTGCATGACAAGGGGGGTATGCATAGAGGGTATACTACTACTACTACTACTACTACTACTATTATTATTATTATTATTATTATTATTATTATTATTATTATTATTATTATTATTATTATTCCAAACTGATTATAATGCTGTGGTTATTAAATCAACAGTATTTGTGAATAATTCTATGTATTTCACATTATGAGTAGACCTTAAGGGTTGAACTGTGGGATCCTTGGTGCTCTTTGAACTTGATTGCTTGCTTGCTGGCGTTTCATTACCCAACTAAGTAATGTCATCAGTGCAAGCAAGTGTGGAGTTTGTTCCCTGTTAATACATATTATGTTTACTCACCATTCAAAAGTAACAATAAAAATAACTGAGGAAATAAAAAGACCAGAATGCATCTTCTCCAGCAGCCCACAACCAGGTAGGCCAAGGTCAACACAAGACAAAGAATAAAGCAGAAAACAATACTTGAATCAAGGAACTACCCAGGAGAAAACTATACCCTCAGCAATACTGGCAGGGCAAGCTATTGTATATAAGAGGAAGTAAACCACACACCCGTGCACACTCATATTATTACCTAGTTACAAGCAAACAACCAACCTCAGAACAAAGGAAGCCACTTCATAGAATAATCATTACTGCCTGTGTTTCTTGTAAGCTAATTTCCATCTTGAGACCGTTTTCCCCCCAAAGACCCACAAACAGATGTATGTTTCAGCCGGCGGAGAGGATGATATTCTGTGACTATAAACCCAGGTTTAGATTATGAATACTTTGGCCGGTGACTCAAAGCAGTGAGAGGGAGATAGAACTTCTTTCAGAGTTCTATCTCCACCGGTAGCCCTGGCTTAATAACCCTAATTTCCAACATCTGGTTGCATCAGTGCAATGGGAAATCTTATCCCCACCCCATGTTCAAGCAACCCCCTTACCAATAGAATATTCATGAAGTATCCTCCAATCAGAGCATAGACACCTCCTGATGCTCCCACGAGACCCAGCAGTGGATCACAGATGGAACTTGCCAAAGAACCTAAAGAGAATCAGACCAATTAACCAAGATAGTGTTGGCAGTTTAGAATGACTAATGCCAGGCACAAAGGATCAGGTCCACACCCAAAGGTCTAATTAAACTGGTGTATAGCAATTGATGCTTATGCACATAACTATCATTGGAATTCATGAAGGGGAAGGTTGGACTTAGTCCGCTTGTGCCTACCTAGAGATTTTGGGCATTTCCCTCGTTTGACTCCACCCTCAGGTTCTGCTACTCCTTCCCCTATAACTAAGCAGCTATTAAGTTTGGTTATTGACATGCAAATTAAAATGTAAGATTTTTTTTTATTTTGACAGGCTATGCCTCTTATACTGTTTTGTATACTGAAAGTGGATCAATTGCTACCAAACCAGAGGTGGTATTCAGCCAGTTTTCACCAGTTCTGGAGAACCGGTAGTGGAAATTTTGAGTAGTTTGGAGAACCAGCAAATACCACCTCTGGCTGGCCCTGCCAACCCCATCTCTTCTCCGCCTCCCATTGAGTCCCAGCTGATTGGCTGGATCTTCTTTGGTTGCCCTGCACAGGAGAACGGAGCTGGAAAGCAGGTTAGTGGGGTGGGGAGGGAAGGGGGATTTTGAAGTGTCCTTCCCTGCCATGCCCACAGAACCGGTAGTTTAAAAAAATTGAATCCCACCCCTGTACCAAACCCTTTTCTGGCATGACTGACCTCCAATCACTCCTGCAAGATATACAGCTCCCACTCTGTGTCCTTTATGAACTAATTCCAGGGGAATCCCCAGGCAGAGCTGGAGAACAAGGTTCCCTATAATATGTTCAACACTGCAGAAGGAAAAATGAATTTGAAATTAGTATTTATATTCTCCAGAAAAAAACCACAGCATGCCAAGATTATTTTAATGATAAAATGGGGTACCGATTTAATGAATATATAAATATTCAGTGTTTAGCATAATTATAAAAGTAAAGTACAACAAGCAACTGAAGTGGCAATGAAGTAATTAAGTACAATTAGAGTGCAACGCTTCTCCGGGTTCTGGGTGTGCTCTTAGCCCAAGGCCATAAAGCAGCTTCAGTCCCAATGGAAAGCCAAGTTGGATAGCCAAGCCAAGCCCAGGGCCTCCTTTAACACCTGTCAAAATGAGCATAACAGACTGCTTACCCAGCATGCAGAAACATGTAAGACAAAAATCTCCAGGCTTCTTTTCGTTTCTCAGGCCTGTAAATAAGTGGACTTTCCCAGATTCCCACTTCTAGTGTGATCCATTGAGTCTGGGGCTTCCAAACGGCATAATAAATGAACACTGACAGCTAGAAATAAACAAGAGAAAGGCCCTTCAGTCCATACCTGACTGAGATAACAGTGGAGGTAAAGACCCAAGCAGCTGGCACAACGATGTAAAGCTGTTCAATACCACAGACAATACTGCTACCCTTCAAAAAGACCTCAACTATGTATCAGAATGGTCAAACAAATGGCAACTTCAAATCTCAACAAATAAATGCTCTGTCTTACATATTGGCAAAAACAATCAGAAAATAAAATACAGGCTGAATAGTCAAGACCTTGTTGATAATCCAAACTCTGTCAAGAATCTTGGAGTACTCATCTCTAATGATCTAAGTGCTACAGTCCACTGTAACTACATAGCCAAAAAGGCATTACGAGTTGTTAAACTAATCTTACATAGCTTTTTCTCTGGTAATATCACACTACTAACTACAGCATACAAAACATTTGCTAGACCAATACTTGAATACAGCTCATCAGTCTGGAACCCGCATTATGTATATGATATTAACTCAGTTGAGAAATTCCAGAAATATTTCACAATATTCCACTCCTCTACTTGTTGCAGAATACCTTATGCCACCAGACTTGAAATTCTAGACCTAGAAAACCTAGAACTATGCCGCCTTCAGTCCTATCTAAGTATAGTATATAAAATTATACATTGCAACGTCCTACCTGTCAATGAATACTTCAGCTTCAACCATAACAACACAAGAGCAAACAATAGATACAAACTCAAGGTAAACCGCACGAAACTTGATTGCAGGAAATACGACTTCAGCAATAGAGTGGTCAATGTCTGGAATACTCTACCTGACTCTGTGGTTTCTTCCCCAAACCCCAAAAACTTTAACCTTAGACTGTCTACTATTGACCTCACCCCTTTCCTAAGATCTGTAGGGGGCATGCATAAGCGCACCAACGTGCTTACCATTCCTGTCCTATTGTTTCTTTTTATTTTTCTTATATGTATCCATTTCATATATTCATAACTATGTTTATACTTATACCTGTTATCTTATAATCACTTGACAAATAAATAATAATAATAATAATTAGTGATCCAGATAACGAAGAGAGTAAAATATTTGGGGATCTGGCTTACAGTAAAATGCTCCACAATCAAGACAGATAATTATGATAAATTGATGGCCCAGATACAGAAAGATTTAGACAGATGGGTAAAAATATACAACTTTCATTGATGGGAAGGATAGCGTCTATTAAAACTAATGTGTTACCCAAACTATTGTACCTATTCCAAACTGTGCCAGTCAAGCTAGGAAAGAAATTCTCTGAAGACCTTAATAAAAGAATTGCCAAATTTATCTGGCAAAAGAAAAAAGCCAGAATAAAATATAAATTAATGCAGGATAGTAGAAGTAAGTTATATTAACAGGCTGTGGTTAGTACTTGGATTAAGGATTGGGTCAATCTGGTAGACAAAAGAATACTGATGATAGAAGGCTTTGATCTACAGCTTGGCTGGCACGCATTCCTTTGGGATGGGAAAAACAGATGTCATAATTATTCACTGGTAAGAAATGCTTTGTTACACGTATGGGAAAAAATCAAAAGGAACCACTATGTGAAAATACCTCTCTGGCTATCACCAACGGAGGCACTAATATACCTCAATGCCATGGATTTGAATAAAACAGTAAAATATAAATAACTTATAACGGATGAAGGAGAACTAAAAACACACAGCCAATTAAAACTACAAGGAATTGAGATAGGTTGGTGGCCTTATGTTCAAATTCAAACAAGACACACAAAAAATAAGGAACAATTAAGATTTTATACCATCTTTCAGGAATTAGACAAAATACTACAGGGAGGTGAAAAAAAGATGATTACTAAAGTATATAACTACCTATTGGAATTCAAAATGGAGGAGGAGACGGTTAAAGAGAATATGATAACGTGGGCCAAAAATTTTGGTCATACCATTTATTTGGATCAGTGGGAATGACTATGGCAAACAAACTACAAATTAATGCTATTGGTCTCCTATAAGGAGAACATTTATAAAATGTTTTATCAGTGGCACCAGCAAGACTGGCCAGAATGTTCCCCAACCTGTAAGCCAAATGCTGGAAGTGCAACCACAGCCAGGGAATGTATTTTCACATGTGGTGGACGTGTCCCCAAGTATGAAAATATTGGCTCAAAATTCGAGCATGGTTAGAGGAGTTAACAAAACAAAAGATTAAATTCAAACCAGAAATCTTTCTGTTAGGTAGGTTAGTCCCAACATGGGATAAGAAATACTGCACATTATAACCACTGCAAGAATATCTCTAGCTCAAAACTGGAAACTGACCATGACACCCACAGATCTAGAGGTGATTAATAAGATACATCAATGTGCAGAAACAATTAGACTAACTATATTATTAAAAAACAGGGAAGAAGAATATTTTACAATATGGAATATATGGTATAACTGGTTAAAAAAAAAGTGGAGTTACATGTTTTGTAAAAACGACCAATGAAATTGTACAGGAGAATGTGATATATGACCTATGTGTATTTATGTAAAGTAATGTAGCTAGATAAGCTAGATAAGTAGTGTAGCTAGATAAGCATTTTAACAGCAGTATAACAAGTAAGGAACTAGTAAATTAGCTATAGATATACTTATGGTAAACGAACCCAATTTGTTGCTAAAGGATATGTACACTGCTATGACATCGCTGTAAAATGTGAGAATTTGTTTCTCTTTTTTAAATTTTTTGAAACTTTGAATAAATAAATATATTTTAAAAAATAAAATAAAAAAACAGTCCAACATTAATAATATATTTAAAATATTCCTATTCTGAATACCCCACATGACTACATTCATTCACAGGGTTTTCTCTGACTTTTTACTTGTTTCTCTTGGATGAATATTTGGGGATAAACAGTGAGCACCTTCTGCAAAGCAGCTAAACCAAAACAGAGAGAAGGCCCAGGGGGAGATACTTGTGGAAAGGTACTTTCCCTGGATAAATTCCTTTTAGGAATTGATGAAACATTCAGGCTCACTTAAAATCAGAAGTAAAAACTCTATCATGATTTTTTTAAAAAATTACACTAGTAAAAAAGGAATTAGAGTCACCTATTCATGAAAACTGCTTCTATCAGGGGCCTCCAAACTTGGATGAAATGTTCCAGAACCACTTGCTTAATCTATAATCTTAAACTTGGCAAGTTTAAGACTTGTGGACTTCAACTCCCAGAAGTCCCCAGAGTTGCTGGCTGGAGAATTATGGGACTTGAAATCTGTAAGTTTTAAAGTTGACAAGTTTGGAGGCCCCTTTTATAGATTAAGCAAGTGGTTCTGGAATATTTCATCCACGGTAAAAATCATGAAAGGCGTGTAGAAATAGAATGTACAAATAAAAAAGCTTTTTACCTCTGCTAAGCTGATAACCAGGATGAAAACGGGCGGCGGGATGCAGCTGGCTCTTTCCAGGTAAGTTGCTCTGGCCTCTCCGGTAAGCATCCACTTGGAAACGGTATTATGGACGCGGCTGCACTCGATCCACTGGCACCTGCTGCTCTCCTCCTCCTCCTCCTCCTCCTCCGGCTCCTCTTCCCGCCAGCTCCCTGGCGCATCTTGCAGGTTGAATCGCTCCAGCTCCATGACGCCCCTCCACAGCCGGCCACGGAGGAGCCTCTTCCTTGCCTGGGACCGGCTCTCGGCTGCTTGCAAGAGAGGGTTGGGGACCTTCAGGGTCTCCGTGGTGCCACCTGGCGTCAGTACTAACCTCCCCACATCCTCCCTGGGAGCAGCAGGCCAAGGAAGACCCGTCGGCCCTTTGGCTCGAAGAAGGGATCCGCGCTGGAGCTGTGGGTCCTTCCGGCGGGGCTCTCCCGGCACCCAGGAGTGCTTCCACCCCGCTTGGCCCAGGGCTTCCCTGGGGTGGCCGTTCTTGAACTGGGCAGCGCCCGGGGGGGGGCTCCCAAGCCTGCAGGGGAGTCGCCCTGCTCACTCAGTCGGGTGTCCCCCTCGCCCTTCTCAGCCCCAGCCAGGATGGGGCGGAGACAGCCGGCGGTGGCCAACCGACCCGTCTCCGGGGCACAGGAGAGCCGGCCACGGCCAGACGGCCAGCATGAGATCCCGGCTTGACGGAACCAGCCAGGAAGCCGGGTTGCCAACCCCGCCTGCGGACGGAGGAAGGGAGCAAAAGGCCGCCTGGTTGCCCAGGCGTCTGGCAGGCGCGCCGCAACCCCGCCAGCCCCGGGCAGCCGCGCTCCGTTCACTTCTCCACGCCCATCGCTGCGACCGAGGAACGGGCCGAGCGACTGCTGCAAGGTACGCGGGGCAGGAAGGAGCTTGGTCGGCTACGCCCTGGCAGCTTGGAAACCGACGCAGTCCAGCCAGCCCCGGGCTCCAGGCAGCAGCACAGCCCCGACGGCCAAGGCAGCGGAGGGAGTCCCGAGCGGCCGGGCCGCACCAGGAAAGCCGCCACCGCCAGAAGCGCTTACCTGGGCGCGTCAGCCAGGAGCTCTCCCGGCGCGGCAGCGAGGAAAGGTAAAGCAGGGGGTCCGGCTAAGCTCTGCTCCCCGCCCGCCCGCCCTTCCCTTC